ATATATATATATATATATATATATATATATATATATAAAGTAGAAAATATATATTTTGTTAAATATATAAACTGAAAACTGATATATAATTGTAGCTGGATGTGATTTGCTCAACCAAGGGAACTGAAGCATGGGTTGAAAAGCTCAAGTAAGTTATAGGTTACAGTGCCAAAGTTTGTCATCAATTTTTGTAATAATAAATAAATAAATAAATAATAAATATTTTATTAATTAGAAATAATTGAAATAAATATCAGGTGGGATGGGATCAAAACTTTCTTGAGCATGCCCAGAACACCACTTTTCTGTGGTGGAGAGAAAATCACAAAGGGTTTCTTCAAATCATACAAAAACCTACATTTCTACTGGATTCTTGGAGCTGGTCATTTTGTAAGTCTACTAATTCTTTGTTTCGGTTCGGTTTCGATTGCGGTTTCGGTTCATTTCTAATCCTTTTTGAAAATTTCATTTTAAATATTTTAAAAAGATTTGTACATCAGATTTTGATTAAAAAAATCCTATTTAATTTCAAAAAAGAAAATAAAAAAATTACTTTTATAATATCTATATGATAATGTATTTTATGGTATGATGAGTGTATAACAAAAATGCGATTTTCGAATTCTGTCAATTTCAATCCGGAAAAAATCCGATTCGGAACAGAAATTTTCACCTTAATTTTTAAAGTTTATAACAATTTGCACACAGTAAATGTGCAGTGTGTGTGTTGGATTTAGTGTCAGCAGTTTATGTTTCTGTTTGAGTTGTCCTAATCATTATCTCCTTGTGCACTTAACTCTCTCTCTCTCTCTGAGACCACTAAATATCTATCTGCTCATATTTCCCTATCCTTTGTCAGAATTTGTATCTACAGCATAATGAATTTTCCTTTTATTTATTTTTGGTCTGATTTTCAGGTACCTGTTGATCAGCCCTGTGTGGCATTGAACATGATAGGTAGCATAACACAGTCTCCTATTACTTCAAAATAGATAACCCTCATTCATTATATCACAAATTATCTGGTGAAAAAAAAAATCATTGGAGATTTTATTGGTAGACAAAGAATTATAAAGAAAAATAACTAAATAAACAAATAAAAATTGTTCATCTTTTGTAAGGGAATTTGCAAATATTATGATGTTCTATCATTGTTTTGTTTTTCAAAATATATAAATAAGCAATTTATATTTATGTTCAAAACTTCTCCCCCTTCTGAATTTTACTATAAATGTGATTCAAATTGTAATTGCATGTTAATTGTGATGAATGGAAGTCGGGAATCTCATATCGTAGTAATTGACCGACATCGGATGTAAATTTGGGAATATAACAACTAACTCTTAAGTGAAAGACGAAAAGAATCGATATAGAAATTTCAAATTCACCACAATATCCAAAAGAATAAGTGAAAACATTATATACGGGAAGATAACAATTAACTCTTTAAGTGAAAGACGAAAATAATTGATATAGAAATTTCAAATTCACCACAATATCCGAAAGAATAAGTGAAAATAAAAAGGGAGGCATCTAGATATCTATTGATAGTTCAACTTATTCCAATAGTTTCCACAAATTTATTATTATTAATTTGAGATGTATAAATCCAAATCCTTCGATCCAAATAGTGTCCGAATGTAAACAGAGAGCAAAATGCAGTCAGTTGGGAAAACTCCGGTAGAAGTAAATAAATAAGGAACTCAATTATGGGAACTACATACCCTCATTGTAAGAACCGCACTTACAACACGTTATAATTCAAAATTACATTCGTTGATATATATTACACACAAAAGGAGACGATATACAAACTCTAAAATCGATGATGTAAAAAAAATGGAAACAAGGAATCCAATTTACAAGGATAATATAAAATAGGAAAAAGAGAGAAGAAAACGAACCACGAAACTCTTCCAAAGGTCAAAAGTCAGTTTGGGGAAAGATCACTCTATCTTTTCCAACACTTCCAACCTAGTTTTTCTTTTCCAGCCTTTCATTGTGGCAACAAGGTTGACTAGCCCAACAATTTGGCTTTTACTATATTCCTGAAAATTTAAAGTGCATTTAATAAATTAAAAAAAATCCGAACTAATTTGATGTTGAATCATATTGCTGGATGGGATTTAGGAAAATGTCTATACCGGATGGACGCGCGACCAATGGACATATTCGGTTTCTGGAAGGTAGTAAGCCTGATTATGAAGTAACCAACAAGAAAAGCGGTTAAAATCTCACAGCAGGTATTGTCATCCACACACACCAACATGGATGTGTGTGTTTTGTGTGTGGACGAATAAATATTCTTTTTACCTGGTGTAACATTCAATAAACACCAAATGACAATGTAATTCGTTGACAAATAACGATTTTTGTTAGTTACCTTGATAAAAGTTTCAACGATCTGCAATTTTGGTCTTACGTCGAATGAGACAAAATGCTTAAGGCCATTTATTAAAACCTGAAAAAGGAAGATTCAATCAAACCAAAAGGAAAACAAATTATATATAATATATTATCTTAAGTCCGAGTAAAGTGACACCTGAAGATCCAGAGACATGAGGGCGCGCCCTTCATCGGTACACCTCTTTACCCTAGATAGGCCCTCGATGAGAGTTTCAGCAACATTTTCAAGCCCATATTCTAAGAGGAGATCTTGAACCTGTATTCACATGAACGGGAACGTTGGGAAGTAGTATTGAGATAACGAAGCAAATTTTATGCAATCAACAGTTCAATACGAAAGAAAAGTTCAATAACTGTAGATACCAGTTTGTCATTTAAAATTTCATGCATAACCATACTATTGAATTTGTGTACATGATACATGTTCAGAAAATAAAAACGTGACGCATTCATGAGAAACAGTAATTAAAATGCCGACGAACCCACACCTCAAAGGCATATATTGTTTGGCCTGTTTGATGTTTGACAATACACTGTAGATCAAAGGATCTCAAAATTTTCAAATAAGATATCGTCTGACCAAATTTCCATTTCATTTATAGATAGTTATGAATATTAAAATAACGCTTAATACCTCTTTAGAAATACCCCCGTGAGCAAGCCTTGTTTTGTAGTGCTTAAATTCTCCGAGTAGTAAATCAACATACCTAATAAGAGAAGACGTTTGGTGCTTATATTATTCAAATGATAAATCAACAACTATTACAGTCCAAGATAAAGACTAACTGATCCAATGCTAACAAACGCATAGGAGACTTTACAAATTCACACTTTACAAGTAGAGATATTTAAGGACTTGTGAAGACTATGAAGAATTTAGATACTGAACTGCATCATATCCATCATTCCTTATTTAGACGAATTAACTGTGTGATTTGTGAATGGATAAAGCCGCAATTCAAAACATACTGACTTCCCAAGATAACTTACCCGTTATGCTCTAATCCAAGCTCCTTCACCTCCCATTTAGCATTGGCAACGCGATCAACGTACCTGCTCAATTCTACCAATCAATACCACTACAATACGGCCAAGCAATCATCAAAGACAACTCTAGAAATAGAAGTATATATTTTCTTCCCCTTTCTCATCAAGAAATAAGGTCATTGAGTTCTATAATATATAAAAGAAAGCAGAATATATTTTTTTAAAGGAACAGATGTAAGCCACTACCCCGAGCTAACCAAGAGAAGGGGTAGGTGGGGATTGAGGACTTCGTAGGAGGGAAGAGAAGTTGCAAGATAAAGAATGATGCAGAATAGTTAAAGTAAGTCATCACTTGATTTTCACACAAAAAGGCAGAAACTATTTCGATGCAAGCAAATACCTATTCGCAAAGTTCTTGAAACTAAATGAATCTCATTCACTCAAATTATAAGTAACATAGCATAAAGACCGCACTCGATCTTGCTGTGAAAAATGCAAGATTGGAAAACCACAATTATACAACAATAAAGAAGTTTGAAGTGTATCGAACTGTTTATGGTAATATCTCGTAATCCAATGATTTTATGAAAATAGTTTAGGTCAATCAATTCAAGTACTCATTGCATCTCACCCATTGATGTGGAGTAGCTGTTTTGCCGTTGTTCTATGAATCTGCATAGTTAGTTCCGGAACAGCATCAACCTGTCAAAAAAGGGTAGTCAAACAACTGCAAACAAGTTCAGGCAGATGTAAGATGATAACTATGAGAGAAATAGTTATGACAAAGATAATGGTAGGCAAGGAGAAAGAAACCAACTATTGCATTATGTAGTAACTACAAATGCTACTTAAATTGTATAGAACTTCAAAAGGTATTTATATTCCAAGTCAGCTTGAGAGTGAGTGCTATCATTGGTCAATCAAAACCATGCAATTTCTGGGATGTGCCAAATAGAAACTTCCACCACATTTAGAGAAGTATATATCTAACCATAATATTTTTCCTCAGGAACATATGGACTTGAAGCAGAACAAGTACCATAAATGCAAGTGCAAAAACATACCAAATGCGCATAAAAATCCTCAACTACTGCTCCATTTTTCTGAAGAAGCATTGACTGAAGATGGGCTTTAGATCTATGCAATAATTTAGCAACAAGAGATATAGTGTCAGCGCCAGCACATCTTTCCTGCAGCATTACGTCAATGTAAATTACTTGCATAACAGTCGAAATGCAACTTTCACTCAAATAATTTTACACTATTTTAATTTTCTATGCATCAGTCACATAAGATTATTTGACTGGAATACGTTGAGCTCATTTTAGTATTTATATAGTTACCTGATGGATATTGAGGTGCTCGAGCCTAATTGAGGATGGGGAGAAAAATCACAAATGACTTTATTAATTAAACATCTATTGCGGAATAGATCTAATTTTCCATGGCATATATAGTTAAGGCTCTAGAATCAATTTGGTAATTATGAGCATAGAAGAATGCTCAGGATATATGAACAGAACGCTAAAGTGTAAGTTGAAGGAATTTACAGCATTATTTTTTAAAGCACAAACTTGTTCACACGCCTTGCTTTGTACAGAAATACTTGTTGATATGGTACCCAATTTCAATTCGTAGAGCTATTTTCAGATTTTAATACCATACTCTCAAAACAGACTTGCTTGACGGTACCCAGGTGTCTAGGGCCTACATGCATTGAGTGAGCTGTTGGATTATAAATGATGATGCTGAACAATGTTGAATTGAGAAATCCAACAGTTTAACCACTAAACTTAGGCACTCAATGATGATGGCCATTTGGAAATTGGAATCCAGCAGCTGAATAATAGATTTGTGCACTATCCACTCATGTAGCATCAAACAAAACCCAAGAATAAACAACCTACGGAAACATACTCCATTACTTAATTTAGAAATTCAGTGTGTGACATAAGAATAGAGTCATTGCTTTGCGTCTCTTGTAAGGAAAAGAAAAAAAAAACATTAGAAGGGAGTTTGAGGAGAAACTTGCACCCTAAATTTGTACATCACTGAACAAAAACCATTTATAGATAGAGGATAGGAATATATACTACTCTATTAGCATAAATACCTTCAGCCCAAATGATGTGTGATTCAAGTGACTAGGAGGACTGGTCGGGGTGACGTCCATGTGAGAGAATGACGCACTCAAAGATGTCGGGGACGAAGAAGAAAATGATGTAGACTGAGATTTTATCCACTGGTCACAATCTTGTGATATTCTTGATAATGCATTCTTTAGCTTGTCTGAGGAATATAAACAAAAAGATGTTTAGGAGATGACGCCTACTTAAAACAAGCTGTATTAGTTTTCTTTCGGAAGAAAAAAGAAACATCAAAAACTAAAGAATACTTACAAGGATTCAAGCCTTTTCCACTAGGTTGGACATTATGCTCACAGAAAGACTCGAATACAAAGTGGAAAAATATCTCAAACAACTGGCATATTCCCTGTTCACATTACGATATTCTATTATTGAAGACAGAACATTAAGATAAATTGGAGCACAGCTAAAGTAATTGACCTGGAAAAGAAACCATCATACAACCGTACCTTAAAAAACTCCACATTGACAATCTCTAATTTCTGCATCAGTCTCGCATATTTGTCCATCAATCTGACTCAAATAGAATAAGATATTAATGCTTATTATTTATAATATAGAATTACATAGATTCAGAACTGAAGAATCTACAACTCACCTTAAGATACTAAGGGAAGATCCTGTTTGTGCTGTCATATCTTCATCATTTGTACGTAAAGAGTTATGCCTTGAATGACTTGGTTTTGAAATACGACTAGGAAGCTGACTATCTTCATCAATAAAATCTGCATGTAGATCTTCATTTTCATCTTCTGAAAGAGTAGTCCCATTAACATGGTTCACATCACCACTTTTTGGAGAGGATTTAGCATGCCGGCCTATCTTATCAGTATTTCCCGATCCTTGTGAGGTCAAACCGTTGGAATGAAGGGAATCAGAATACTCCTCAGAACTGCCATTCAATTTTGATGAAAATGGGTTTCCGTGTTCCTGCCAATAAAAAAATCCACCCCTCTTTGACCCACTAACTACTGGACGAACTGATCTACTGTCATGCGATCTGGAACTGGGAGATCTATCAGATGAAACAATGAGAGCTGCTCCATCTCCAACCAGTCCAGGAAAACTAACTACTTGAATTGTGTCTAGCGGCATTATCTGCCAATTCTCCTTCTCCATCACCATTTTTAAGGCCTGGAAGCCACATAATGATCTTAATCCCATGATGGGTGAAGGTAATAAATGAAACAAGAACTTAAGCAAGAAATTTATCCATCCATTTTACAGTTTCACCATATGTATGCGAGAGTTGATGAACCTATTTACTCTTGCAGATAAAGCATAAATCATGTTGCAAGGAAAATCATTTCACTGCCGGAATTTTATGTTATTTACAGTTTTGGCACATAGTTTCACTATAGATGAGCAAGGTTGGTCAACAGTGACAGATATCAAAATGTGTTTAACTTAATACATTTAGTCGTTCGAGATTTCATAACATGAGATGAAACATTTGAGCATACATAAAATTGTATCAATGTATCAAGGAGTTAATGCATGAACTCTTTGATATATAGCATGATCAAAGTGAGTTGGACTTACATAAATATTCTGCCGATGGAAAGCAGAAAAATAAGCTTCACAAATGGATTTAAGTTTCTGGCGGAACTCAGCAGCCTCTATCCCGCAAAATGCTTCCCCAGCCAGAATGAAGATACTCAGATCTTCATAGTTTCTCAAAAACTGATGAATGCTAGTCGAAGAAACTGCTGAAGAAGAAAGCAAGACTGCTACACGGCTTGTTGTAAGTTGCCAAAGGTTTCTCCGACCCCTGTGTAAGGCATGTGAAACAAAAGTAACCGCATCTTTGCGCAGTAAGAACCAAGGAGATCCACTGCTTGATGCTGCACTCCCATCATCTCTTCCTTCGAAAATTGCATGATCTGCAAGCTTGGCGTCATGGATTCCTGTGGTATCAGGAATAGATACAGAACTTTTTGGCGGGATCTCGAGTGAGGACAAAGGAGGTCCTCTCTCAGTTGATGCAGGGACTGAGCCATCTTCTGCCATAAAAGTAGAAGAAACTTCTCTGACAGGATCCTCAGAGACCCCAGATAGATTACCATCTTGCTCGCCACTGTGGAAGGGTAACACCTGTCACATGAGATATAGAGCTTGAAACATATTTAATTTCTAAAAAGGGGAAGACAATTCTTTGTTGGCTTAAAAAGTGAGATGTGATTTACTATATTTTAAAGTAAATGAGTTACATAAATCAAGGTTGTTTCCAAGATTTAAGCTGCTTTAGACAGGCAACAATATAAAGATGCAAATGTATGTATGTATAATAGGATATATGTTACAACAATATATGTCAGCGACTATATATTAAAATTTTACTTGTAACCAAATTTATTGATTTTCATAGAAGAGAACGGAAAACAACAAAGAAAGGGAGGAGAGAGCACATGGGTTATAACTTACTTCATCTTCAAGTTGGAAGCTCGTTATTGCGTCATATGAACACATCAGCTTAAAGAGAACAGCTAGCGCTGCAAGCAGACACTGTCTGAACTTGGATTCGGGTATCCGAGTGCACAAATCACTGTAGGTAAGCCTGGACAAGGGGCAGTGGAGAGACAAAGAAATGCATATGATTACATCCACATCTAAGAAAAAACCGATACGGAAAAAAACCCACAGAAAAAATATATTCCACGGTCTTTAAACTAAAGGATATATATTGCTCATACCTAGAAGTTTGTGTATTGGGATTTTCAACATCCTGCAGTAAATCAGATCGTCAATTTTCAAGAATATATGATTGATAAAGACAAAGTAAGGAGAATCCAAATATTTACTGAACTTGAAAGTTAGAGAAAAAGAAAGATTCTACTATATGATAAGCGAAAATAGTACAATTTGCAGTCTTTCAGCAGTATTATGCCATTTTTCGTAATACTACACCTGAGTTTGTTTCAGATAGCTGCATGAGCAGTGCACTTTACCAGACTAGTGATTTTCTGATAATAGCTGCTACACATGTAGTTCTTGTTAAACTGAAACTTGGAGAAGTATAGAAACATACCTCTTGCAAAGAGGTCCTCAATGCAGAGTGACTTTCAGAGAGAACCTCCTGCATGAAGAAGCTTTGTATCTTTTCAGCTAGACCAGGCACATCACCAATTAATGCATACGCATCAACCACCTGCAAACAAGAGTAGATAAATCAGCTAGATATTTTACACCATGTATCAACTATGTGTTTTTCTCATGAGCATAAACTTGACAAAGTCAGGGTACAGAAACAAGGAAGAATTCTACTCTCTCCTGACAAACTCATCAAAGCTTAGAATTCCTACTTCCTCACAGGAAAAATGTTCAGAAGTTCAAAAAAATTCATGGTCAGGGTATAATATAAATCAAACTTGAACTTACAGTGAGAAATCCATCCTCTTTGAAGTCCTGGCACACTTCTAATAGAAGAGAATCCAACTTTTGAAGAGCTTTGCCCAACCAAACCTGCATGAAGTTAACTAATGAGATTAATGAACCCCAAAGAGGTGAAAAGCAGAGTATAATTGTCTAATTTTGTAAGAGACAATAAACCAAATAAAAGATGAATCTAGAATTTAGAAATATAGAGGGCACACAAACACTCAAGAGTTAAAAAATGAAAAGACATTTCTTCCTTTTCTGTTCCTAAAATAACTATATTTAAGTGCTCAATTCACCTCAACACCACGGCTCAGCTCTTGGACTGCAGAAAGCTCTGACAAACCATCTAGAAGTTGCAAATATTCAGATAGTACTTGAAAAGCCTGAAAATGTACAAGTAGCCATTTAGCAAGAATGTTTCAAATACAAATGGGCATAAAACAATATGCAGAATGCACAAACCCTGCTTGAAAGAAGGAAAAGAAAAAAAGAAGCAGCAGAAGCAAAAATAGGAAAGTTCCTTACTCTAGCATCTATATCCAAGTGAATAGTACCTTAGAGAAATTCCCTTCCTCAACACAAGTTTCGAGAGCAGCTTGCATATCCACTGCATGGCGAAGCTCAGTTAGGATGGGGAGCATGTCCTGCAAGTCACAGTGTAATTATATAGGTAATAAAAGAATCCTTTTATGACACGGAACATCAAAAGCACTAGTTGTGAGATGATTAAACCAATAAAAACATTATAGTCCCATTTGTCTATTTTTGATTTTGATGAGAAAATCAGAGTGAAGTCTTTCATAGCATGTGAATGCAAAAACAAACACGTTGAGGGCACAAATGTTATATTTACAAATAAATAACATTTATTTCTTCTTAATAACTCTAAATGCGATAAATTATGAAGAAGCTGTAGATTCAGTTGTTACTTTGGAAGGCAATTCTTCCCCCAAAACACAATGGAAATAAGCCCAAAGGCTTCCAATATTGCTAATAGTCTGAGACTCTAGATGTGAGAATACCTGTAAAAATGCTTTTTGTGCAGGGTTTGGGTAGGAGGGAAACTGAAGAAGAAAAATAGATTGCAGGAACAATAAATATTATAAACTTTCAGGTGAAATAATTACCAGAAGGGCTTGCTTCTTTTTGGAACTTTCTGTAACGATGAGATCCCTAGAGACCTCATTCCTTGATGAGGTAAGATGTCTTCGCCCATTCTGCAAAAATAAGTACGATGACAACCTTTAGATTTTATGAAAACTATTTTCAATTGATCAGGACTGATTTGGTACACATCCCAAACTTTGTGCAGGGGCATGTTGCCATGTTCTAATAGTAAATCCGAACGATAATTTCCTTCTTTTCTACTAATGATAGCTGTATTATATGGTTACTTGACCTGGAAAGACGGTGAGATTTTATTTTTAAGAAAAACAAAAGAAAGAAAATATATTATTCTAAAAGTTTGAGTTAGGAAATTTAGTAGGTTTTGGTGATCTGTAACTCATAACTACAGCAGATATGTTAGTATAGGATTATAGTTTCAGAAGATATAAAACTAAACAGTGGCAGAAAATACATGTCCACCTGGTTTCACATCTGAAACACTTCACCAAGATTAGCACAGAAAAACAGGCAAGCACCAAAGTTGAGCATATATTCTCAAATGCATCAGCAAGCATACAAAATTATACTACTCTACACACTAACAGTTAACAGTTAATGGTAAAAGAGTCACCTGCTTACCATGCAAATAACATTTGCAATCTTCAAGTCCTTCTCCAGTTCTCTTACCAGATTCATCCCCTTCACTGAAACAAGTTTTCACAAATCAGGGATGGAGAAAGTGAAGAAGTTTCATGCAAACACTTGGATAAAGAATGACCGGTAGAAAATAAAAATGTGAGCGAAAACCATGACTGGAACGCAGTCGGTAGATTTCATGCACCTAACAGCAAGGATAGATTAGATGAGACAGAAATTACCACAACCAACTTTATTTAGAACCAAGCATTAAATAGCATACTATGACTTAGTTTTGAAGAATATACTGTTGGATAATAGAAATACTGACAAACTATAGCAATGTAGAGTATATGACACATGGATCAACAGATAAGATGGAAGTATGATATTTCGGAATTCCCAATAGTACAGAAAATTTGTGGGGATTCAAAAAGGAAACCCACCCATTTCTTCAGGACATGTAATAGAAGAAAAATAAAATGAAAAAAATCTAGCAAGATAGACTATATATATGGCACATACAGCAACAGATATAGATGCAACTTATGATACTTCAAAAATGATCCAGAAAATTTACGGGGATTCAAAAAGGAAACGCACCCATTTTTTCATGATGTTCCATAACATGGCGTGACAGGCGCTCAGAAATTCTATCCAGTTGTGCTAGTCGAAGAGTAGCCTATAAAAGAACACAATGCAGATTGGTATGAAATAGCGGGCTGATAAAATGTTTAATATGTGGTTAACAAACTGATGCATAGCTATGAAAAGACAGAACAAGTTGCAACCTCTTTAAATCTAAAGGAGCAGGGAAATTTTGCATGGAGCAAAAGGAAAACATAAGAGTACCATAATCACGGTGCTACATTGCTGGCAACATGAAAGTGATAAGAACATTATCTTAAAGACTTAGACTATATCAATCCGGCAAGAAAAAACCCCACCTCATCAGTGGTCGAATCATATTAAATTCAAGAAAAAACAAGTGGTACGGGATGGAGACAAGGGGAGGAAATAAAGAAAATACCTTTTCCTCGAAATATGCTGGTTCATTTTCTTCGGAGGGAACTTGTTCTAAAATATGTCTAACGGGATCAAAGTCCTAAAATAAACAAATTCACAGCAGGTCTTGTTAATTGCATGTTTTGTATGGTACAAGAAATAGCTATGAAGAGGAAATCGTAAATATATAAAAGAAACCCAAGCAAAATCACAATGATTGCAAGACAGTTGAAACTAAGCACCATCAATTGAAGTGCAATCCAAAATCAAAGAGAAGCATATGCTGCTTCGATTAACAACACATTCATTGATAAGTCCGATCTAAAAATTCAGAAGATACACGATCATCTTTTAAAACTACCCAACCTTCAAACCCCACCCACCCACCAACCCCGCAGGTTTATATGATACGTATTATTATTGCTCATTCTGGTATTGCATGTGGAACACACTTTTCATGAACAATAGATGGTTAACTACAGAAGTAACGAACAAGAGATGTTTCATTTATGAAAAGACAATAAGAACTTAAAATTATAACCAAGAATATCATATTTGAGATCTGCTATCTGGGATATTATCGTATTCCAAACTTTGGGGGAAACCTCCCATAATGGATAATGACAAAGATAAAGCCCGCATGAAATATCTTTCTAAACCTTTCATTGATGGGACTAATGACTGCAGTTGAACTGTTCCACATATATAAAGAGTTAAATCTTTTATGAGATAATTCCTTCACCTGGAAGTTTTCCCTTTTTAGCTACTTATGACCAAAATATTGGAACCTTATGCCAAAAAAAAAACAAAAAAAAAAAAACAAATAACCTCTTCATAGAATTCCTTCTCAAGCTCATCCACAGCTTCACCTTCAGTTCTTGTCCCATATATTGAACTTAGTTCTTCAGAGCTTGAAGAAAGATTATGCCTCTGATGTGGAGGTAGTCCAGCAAGCACACGGGCTACAGCTGCTGCTGCTGCAGCTCGGGCTGGAACCTGTGCGCAGAATTTATTGTATATATACAGTCAGAAATAATTCAGAAACTCGCCGATCATCGTGAACAATAATGGTTAACTACGGAGGGAAGGAAATAGAGATTCAAAATTTAACATCTGTCAATTTATTATGATGAGACTCAGAAAAATCAGATTCCTAATCAAGTATATACATAAATGTTTTTATCTTGTAGCATGAAGTTTGCCTTCTCATCTTTCATTTTAATTTGATTTTTTTCAGGAACTCAAAGCCAAGAATTTGTCAAACAATGGTACTCGTTTGGAGGACTAGTTTGTATCCTTTCAACTTAAATTACAGAAAAGAAATAAAGGGAATCCCATACCAGGCCTCCAGCTACAGTTCCAATTCTCATCAACTAAACACAATAACATTGGGTCATGGCCTAAATATTACATTAAATTTGAAGTGCTTTTATTTAAAACGTTAACCAATTTCTATTAAACATGCCTAAATCCTAACACCACTATATGCCTTGATCAACTATAAACCAATCCCTACAACCACATTACCAACACAAATTATAAAAATGCATATATACACTACTTATATCTTCATAGATGAAAATCGAAGTATGAATACTTTCATACCATCAAGATGCAAACGCCTTGTTAGTTACTTAAAAGAAATTCCAATCACCCTCGGAACTTCAGTAAAAACATAAATTACTGAATTTAGGTTTCTGAATCACTACAAATACCCCTAATTAAAAATAAAATTACTGCGTCTGTAAATATACGTATTCCTAACCCAAAATATATAAACATATGCAGATAAAACAAATTTATCAACTTCACAGGCTGACAATTCATCACCTCATTGCCAACAATCAACAATTAACACCGGTGATCGTTTCACACAACCACCATACGAGTTCAGTTCACAACATTAACGCTAATTACACTACCTCAGGGCGTTCCGGCGGTGGAGGAAGGAGGCCAAGGGAGCGAGCGGAGCGAACGGAGCTGAAGATCTTCTCTCCGACCTTGGACAAGTCCATGCCGCCTGCTTCTCTGGACAAGAGCAGCGATCCTAGGAACAAATACCTGGACAATTCAAACCCTCCCTCTCCCAAATCGCCTCCAATGGCATTCAATAGCAGTAAAGGACTCAGTGGAAATGGCAGTGCCGGTGGATTATCACCCGACTGCATTTCAATCACGACTGCCGCCGCCGGATACTGAGTGGCGCCGCCTCATTGTCACCAGATCAGATCGGAAAAAAAAAAATTATATGGTAATCGGAGTCAGTGTGTGCTGTACGTGTGCGATTTTGCTAGGTGGAAAATTTGGGGGTTGGGTTTACTTTAATTTTGTTCAGAAGACTTTCTCTCTTGGTTAGATCTCAAGTACAGACTAATAGTTCGATGGGGAAAATTTGTAGCTGTATGGAATTTTTATTCTTTGGTTTTTTTTTTTTCCTCTTAATTTTATATTTCTGGGTAATTTTAGTTTATAAACCCCTAAGGATTTAAATTCATACAAATAAAAAATAATTATATTAAACTAAATTATTTAATAAATTGTGAGGAATTGTATAGTTCAATTTTAATATTTTAGAGTTGAATTTATTCTATTAATACTTCATAAATTAAAATTATTGTATGAATAATATTTGTCGCTTTAAATTGATGTACACATTAATAAAAATAATAAATATCCACAAATTATATGGAAAAATCGCATGATAAATGACTAAATTGCCATTGACATTAATTGTTTCTGCTTCTTTCTCATCGAATTAGGAGTAATAATAGTGACCTATGCCATCTTTGGTTTACTTTTCGTTTGTTTCGAGAAATTTATCAATCAATTCTAATTCTTTTGATTCTTATCGAGATATATGAATCATGTTCATTGATTAACAAAAATGTGCAAAAACTCAATTCGACTTGGCAATTTTATGAATTTCATTTAATTAGAAGTTATGCATCATCGAAATTATAAAGTGATAATTAAGTTAAAAATATAAAACCTTTTTCATCAGGGGAAAATTTTGGAACGATATAAGAAGTCAAGGCATAATATTTTTTTATTTTATTTTATATAAAACGAGTCGTAACTTTTTGGGTTGTCTACAAATTAATATTTTGGGCTTGTAGTTTCCCAATCTAAGACTATTGGGCCAAATTAAGTGGGCCTATAATACTGAAAAGTTAATCAATATTTTACATTTTTCTCAATATTTTTTATTTATTTTTTAAATAAAATACAATTGGGTTTATTGTGGGAAATGAGAGAATTAATTCGCGAGAAGAGAGAGAGAAGGAAAAACCTCGAAGATGCTGAGGTTGAAGAGACTTGTTTCAGTAGCTCCAAAAAATTTCAATGGCGGAAACTTACGCAGTGAAGAAGCTAAGCTGTTTCCTAAGATTCCTTCACGCACTCCTTCGAGATTGACTTCCACGCGCTTCCTCGACATCTATCAGGTCTGTTGCAATTTTTCTTCAGATTCGACATTTTTTCCCCATTATTATATATGTCGGCATTTTTTTGCTGATCGTAGAAATTCTACCGAGACAATCTTTTATTTCATTGTTCCAATTTCCGGAAACCAAATACAAATCGATCTCAATTTGATTTTGATTTATGTTGTTTAATTAATAACCTTTTTGGTTAATTTTTGTTTTCCTAGATGGGGAATAAGGAGGCGATTGAGAAGGAACGAGCTCGACTGTGAGTAATTTTTTATTTCCACTTATTTTTTTACACATTTTTCCTGAAAATGATTTTTATTTATTTATTTATTTATTATTGTATATGAATGTAAAGGTTTATATGTAATTTAGGACAGTAAAGATGAGATGAGTCGGGGTTACTTTGCCGACATGTCGGACATGAAGCAACACGGTGGGAAGGTGTGTTTACGTTTTTTTTTTCTCGTTGTTTCGGGTCTGTAGGTTTTGAATTTGGGTGGTGGATTGAGAGTATATTGTGGTTTTGCAGATAGCAATGGCGAATAAGATTATAATTCCATCAACGGCGGCAGTTAAGTTTCCTACACTAGAAGTGAACTACTCCGATGGTTCTATCCTTAAGCTGCCCTTTACATCTGATGCGGATAATGCCGATGCTTCTAAGTCGGATATTCCCAAAGCGTCCTTAGTGTGTTTGTCGTTTAGGGCGAGCTCGCAGGTGAGAAATTGATTAAACCTGTTAAAATTAGTTAAATGTATTTTTACGAATGCTTACAGATATGTTGAAATTGCCTTCACAAAATTTGTTGCTTACATTTCGCCTTTTGTAATCGTGACAGCCTATGGTTGATTCGTGGACCTTACCATTCGTTAATACCTTTGGTCATTCCAGCGATATACGGTTATATGAGGTACTGCACTTTCTGCTTAAACCCTGTTTCGCTTTACTTTTACCAACCCAATTATGAAATAAGGTAAAAGACTAATTTTCCCTTTTTTTTCCGAAATAGGAAACGTCGAGTTAATATTTTAATCTGGTGTTTCATTACTATAGAAATATCGGTGCAGTTTCCTCGGTGTCTTTCATTTTTATGAAATATCTCGTCACATCATGGTTTTTAATATGTATCAAGAATCAAGATTGTGAAACGTTGGTTTATTTTCTAATTATTTTCTGATTAAAGTTTTCTCGTATGTTAGGTATCTTTCATAGATTCATGGTTATTAAGACGCAGTCTTATAAAGAAGCTACTTCTTAAAGTCATGAGGAAACCCAAGCCTGGAGGGGAAAACCAAGATGCCCTACAGAAGCAGATTGTATATTCTTTCGCCGACCATTATTACTTCAGAAAGGAGCTTAAAATATTGAATCTTCTAACCGGGTACCAAGTTTTTTCTTCTCATATTTTTCTTTTTTTTTCGTTTTCTACTCCAAATTATTTTCAGATATATATTCTTTCCTTTTCATTTTCCAATGCAGATACATTTTCTTAGTAGACAAACTCGGTAAAATACGATGGCAAGGTTTTGGACTGGCAACACAAGATGAGTTATCATCACTTTTGTGCTGCACAGCCCTATTGATGAAAGAGTAATAAGATACGAAAAATATAATGATTGAATAATCAAAATCAAGGACCCTTTTTAGTTGGGCAAACAAGATAACTTTGGTAATCTCTAGTTCATATCGTATTAGGGTTTCGTTTAGAACCCGATGATATGTCCAGGGAAATTTTGATTTGAAGAATATTCATTTTTCGATTGATTTTCTTGATGGTAATCTCTGCTTGATATTTATTTATTTATCCAGTCACAGATCCTTTTCCTATTCTTCATATTCGTGATAAGAAACGTACTCGTCTATATGTGTAGAAACTTCTGGAATTTTCCGACTTCGACACCCTAATTTCAGTCCAAGTACTCTTAGCTAATCGAAGTGTTTAACTTCACAAGCCGACATTTACATTAATTTCCTTCACATTTGCACGTTTTGGCCTTGTATCAAAATAAAAGTGGGTGTAGAATCCCGCACTTTACGTATTCTTAACCAAATAATACTCCGATCATATATAATTTTCTAGACTACAACCAAATTAACCGAATCTCGCAGTTCTGGTCGAAAATGCTGCCAAACACGAGCTCTTACACTTGGTTGAGTTTCGTCGTCAGCATAAGTGTAGATGACCAGGTTTCGTCCAAGTGGTACAGTGCAAGCACTTATGAACAGATCTTCATTAAGTGACACAGGGCAAATATCCACTACCAGCTCTTCAAGTGCCATAGCTTTCCTAACAATGTACGACCCGAATTCCAGTTCAGTTGGGTACCCTAAGAATCCCGAGAGTTTCACCTTTTTCAGATTATCGTTTGAAACCTCCTTCACCACATCAAAACGATGCTCCGTATCCCATCTAGACTCAAACGGGTTTACCAACCATGTAAACTGCAAAACAATTTTTCTTTGTAAAGTTACATATTCGATGCTTATGATTAAGTATTAATACAGTCATCAATAGTTTTCATTCGATATTTTATTTTTAAAAAAATAAAATTGGGTTTTTTCCGTAATTAATTCCATCCGCTCCTAAGTGCAATTAACAGGCAAAGGGTTTATTATTTGGATGTAAAGAACAAGTATAGTAGTACCTTGATCTCAAGTTTCTCCAAGCATGGACAAGCCTCGATCATATGAACGAGTTGATGAATGTTACCATCGTTTCCCATATTGGCTGCCAACTCCATATGTTTAAGCTTTACAAATTTCGGGAGGAGCAACTCGTCCATGTCATCATATGGCTGAAAAAACATAAACATAAAACACAATTTAATATATATATATATATATATATATATATATATATATATATATATATATATATATATATTCAAGGATCGGTAATAGTACATACATGCTTACCATTTCTTTAAGGCAGTTGGTCGAGAGCTTAAGCTTCACCAATTGCTCACTAAAAACATTATTGAAAAGATATCGAAAATCCACAA